TTTTGAATAATTCTAGCACTCCCATTGGTAGGTTTACAATACAAGGGAAGGGAGGAAGCACAGTGTAATTTTAAATTGAAGAAATTTTCCCACAAGACACTTTTGGAGGCAAAAATGAATTTTGTCCACTACTTTTGATTTCATAAATAATGTTCAATAAAACTCTTGGCAGGGCTCAAAATTCTTTTTGCCCCCCAAAAAAATGATTTGTTAGAAAATCTATTGGAGCATGTATTCTCATTGACTTATATCTATGGATGTCATTTTACAATAGAATTATTTATGCTTTTCATTTCAAACCATTCTCCCATCCAAAGTCTCTTCTAAGTTATATTCTCCACGCCATTTTAGACATAACTGCACAAATAAACCGCCAAAAATCTCTCCACGCCATTAAGTAGCTTATATCAAAGGTGAGAAGTCAAATTCAATCAGTGTTATTTTCTTATCAATGAAACTTGTTCTCTCGTTAAATGCTGGTCATTACTTGGATCCATGGGCATGGGCATTTAAGCATGAGTTCCTAATAATGAGTTTCTTCATAATGAGTTCCTAATAATCATAATTTATCCATGGGCATTTAAACCAATCTTCACCCCCTGCCTAAAAATAAATAATTAAAAAATTAGAAAAAAGGAGTAAAAAGAAGTTTATTAAAAATTAGTTTGGGTTTATTGGAGTTATTTGATATAGTTATTTTCTTTGCTTTTCTTCTCGATTATAATTGGTACAAATGTCTAAAATGCGGTATCTATCTTTATCTCCTTTTTTTTGTAGGTCAAGATCGATATTTAAGGCACAGCTCATGTTGAAGATTGCTTAGAAGAAAATTAAGGAGGCCGATAGGGTGGTTTCACTAACTACTTAGTTAATGGTTTTTTTTTTTTTTTTTTTTGGGAAAATGTATTGGATTTAAAGGTGTTTTAAAATTTTGGATTTGGAGTTTGTACGAATATTGTTATATTTTAGAGTTCAATTAATAATGATTATTGGAGTTATTTGATATAATTATTTTCTATTATATTTTGTGGTTGATATATGTGAATCACTTTACCAAAAAAAAAATGACCTACAGCTTGTTCAATGTTGCAAAAGCCAACGTTGAACAAAAGTTGCAAAAGAGAGATTTTGCAACGTATATTAAACGTTGCAAAAGCTAGAATAAACGTTGCAAAAATTCTTCCCTCAACGACAACACTGACCTTCGCAACACACGCTAAACGCTGCAAAAAATCTTTTGCAACGTTTTTTGGTCATTGCAAAAACCTTTTTTTGGTGTAGTGTGTGCACAATCAAAAAATCTTTTGGATTGTACTTACTCGCTTAAGTTTGACAATTGAGTTGATAGTTACGTGAGTTTTCGTAGATCATTCTCATTTCTTGTAATGCTACATGTCCCTTTTACATTATAGTTCTATGTCATTATGATGTTACCTTACTGACATTTATTTCTTATTTAATAAATTTATTATTTGTGATTAGTAATGTGTTTGCAGTGGCATATACATTGACCGTCCTAAACGATCAACATGTCAATCAAAGTTAATTATTTTAGATAACTTGTCATTTTATGTAAATTGATTTAAGACTTTTTTCTATTTTTGAAAACATTTATATTTCTTCACATTAAGTTATGATTAATTTAATTTTATAAATAGCCGAACAAGAGAAATTAGGAATTGGACTGTTTAATGGAATCAATTGATTAGATTTTAGTTAGTTAATTAAATAGCATAATTATCCTTTTATGGTTTTCACAAGATAAGAAGTCAAAACTTTTCCTAATTCTACACTACAAAATAAATCCATTCCTTTATTCTTCAAAAGTTGCAACATACAATCACTTTTCTTCTATCACCACTTAGCTTAAGTCCTAGTAGTGGCAATGGGCCAAGTAGAGGTAGCTCGAGCCCACTGCCTACAAGCTCGGCTTGTCAAATTTATACTTACGTCGTATATCAAGGGCCAAGCTCGGCTTAGACCCTAATATTGTGGCTCGAGCATTATCTGGACAATCAAAATATTGATGTAACAATATTTATGTTCATTAAATTGAAATATTTAATGTATACTTTTTAGATTTAGAATAATTTAAGATAATTTAGATTATTTTTTATCCAATTTTAGGGACTCCTCATCCACACCCCGTTTCTCCTTATATCATCAATAAATTAGTTGGTTTATTAGATGTTTGAACTAAATAACGCACGTTCCATTTTTTACTTTTATATCTTTAATACTTTATTTAACTGTATTGTGTAGGAACATAAAATCACGGAACACTTAAACTAACATTGATCGAGGAGACAATGGGAGCAATAAGAAAAGCTAGCCATTGAATTTTACACCATATCAAGAGACTATTTTATTAATTTTCTTTCCCAACCTTTATATGCAGACTTACTATTTAAGACGTTAAGGATAATGTCTAGTTTAAGTTTATGGTGGAAAGCATGAGTTTTCTTTTGTTGTGTGTATTTTATTGCTTTAAATATTAGAAAAAAAATTAAAAAAATTCCAATAATATTTTATTTGTGTGTGCTTGCGTGAGTTAGTTGGCCTAGTTGGGAATGAGAAATATATTGAACTATGAATTAATCTATGAATAATGAAAAGGTTGCATGCCATGGTTAATTTTTTGCTTTTCCATGTGAAATTTGATATATATTGAGCACGTAGATTAAGTTAAGCATTGTGTAGGAATGAGTAGATTTCATAATTGAATAGGTCCAAATAGTGGACCATATATAGATTCTAAATCCAAAACTACTATATTCTATATCCTTATACCAAATATTAGCATATGTCGGGAGATTTCACTGTTTTAAGAAGATATGGAGATAGATGGAGATTCCATATATGAAAAAAATCTTGTGTGGATTGTTTAAAGTCGGTTGACTTTAAAACAACAGATTTTTTCGCATTGCTTGATTGACTGGCAACTAGATAATTAACATGATGTGTTTGTGTGTTTGTTAGGTTTTAGTTTTGTTTGAGGACAAACAAGGATTATAATTTGGAGGTTTGATAAATGTAGTTTCAACACTTATTCGAGATCCTAAATTATGATATTTTACTACTCTTTGGACAAAATACTACCTAACTTGTGTTGTATTGCATTTTGTAGGTAAATCTCGATGTTTGATGAACAATTGGAGAAATGAATGAAAAATAGTGAAAATGGCGAAATCTAAAAGTTAAGGACTAAATTGCAAATAATTCATAGATGAGACGGGCAACTAAATGAAAATTGAAGATATCAAGGATTTAATTGGATACAATTGGAATATAAAGGAACAAGATTGCAAGAGAAAATGGCTGAAGCGAAGTTCAGAGAATAAAGTGCAACTACTAAAAAATTGTGTCAAACCTTACGATGAGGATTCGAGAGTGTTAGGTGTCAATTGGATGAAGAAAGAAGTCTAATGAATGAAATATAATCAAAGTATTATCACATTAGGCTTCAGATTTTAAATCTCAGCTTGAGACCCATTTTTGGTAATTCAAACGTTCGAATTGGAAAAATAATATCTATAGAAGAATCTAGCCATTTGTATTATCTTTCCAATGCATTTTGAATCACTTTAATCGGATATCGAGAAAAAAAGATACGACAATATTACTAAAGGTTATTATGTAGTTGCATATGTTTAATTAGATGCAATTGCATCTATGCCTCCGGAGCTTCCGGGACCATCTATGATTTCTTCTATATGGCCACTTCCATTTTTACTATGCGACCTCATAGTACTTTTCCTAGGCGATATTTTGTTCCCTTTTTAAATTGAAACTCTACTTTACTAACAATCTTTTCGACATCCTTTAAGTACCACAATCCGTCCAGGACGTAGAGAGATCTTTCTAGTCCCAAAAACCTATGTATTTCATCTATTTTGGAGCTAAAGGACGAGGCTAGATCATCAGTGTCAAAGGAACTGTACTAGATTTTTGAAAATTATCCATTCAAAATCAAGATTTCATTCTAGAATGTCGATTTTTCTACCTTCTTCCATATTTCTTCGATTCGGGTGATGTCTTTTCATTATTTTTTGTATTATTTAATAATTTGATGGTTGTCTAAGTTCTTTCTTTTGTATTGGATGAATAATGAACCCTACTTTTTATATATTTTAATTCAAAACAATTAGTTTAATAGTTCTTTATTTTATAAATTAGTTTTGCATCCCCATTGAACTATTTGATCACCAATTAGATAGTAAATTGCCTATTGTAACGTAAGAATACTAACAATAAATCTAGGACACAGCAAAATCAATACATGGGCAATATGTATTAGAAATAATATCTATGGCATGCACAATAATGTGTAATAAATTATATAAATCAATGCATGCTTTTCATATAAATTCGGATTAGGAATATGGTCGGATCGTATTAAACATAGGTTTAATATATCTTGGAAAAAAATATTGAATAAAAGTGGATTATCGATTTTCTTGAATGCATGAATTTACTAGATTACGAATTAAGAATTAAATTAAATGACAATGGGGATTCATGATTCCAATACAAACATTTACAAATTAGATAAATATTTTATTTGCTTCTTAATTTAGGATTAGTATAGAAAACGTACAAATTATTTCTTTTGATGTTGCATGACTTCAATTTGATAAAAACTATTAAACTAGATATTAGACCTTATTTTTCGTGGGAATGATAAACTCGAAACTAACTGATTTTTATTACTTGTCAATTTTTATTACTTGTCAACCATCCAACATGCTTGTGGGTTTCAATCCAACATTTATGCGCTCAAGAATTCAAATGGAATCATGGAGATGCAACCGAAGATGCATTGATGAATGCCAGGCCCGGCCCTGGGACCAAGCCACCTAGGCGAATGCCTAGGGCCTCCAGATTTCGGCTTGGGCCCAGGGCCTCCAAATTCAACAGATTCTCACAATTAAACCGTATCTATTTCAAATGGCAAAAGGTAATCAATTCGACTTCCAGCTCCCGCTTCCAGAATTTCCAGCTCCAACTGACCAAAACCGCAGTGGAAAATCCCAATCTCCGCCTCTCGTACACCGGATTTCCTTTTTTTATATCATATCAGGTCCTTTTCTCCTCTTTATGCGCCACCATTAAAATCTCTATTTTGCTTGTTTTGATAGGAAATAGAGATAATAGATCGAAAGGATAGGTTTTCAATTGTTTTAGCCTCGGATTGATCTTTTGTTTGTGTTTAGTTTGATGTTAAATAGCTAAATGTCTCGACCAGAAAGATTTATTTTTTATTTTTTGTCTTCTTCTTCTAATCTTCTAATTCCTTTTTCAATTTTTTTTGGTAAAATCTGAGTTAAATAAACAGTGCAATCATGGTTTAGTGTAGAGATAGGGGGATAAAACGTCAGAAATGTTTATACGAGGTTGGAATTGAGATCTGAAACATGCTCCAAGGAAGAGTAGAATTGTAAAAGTGAACGAGTATAGGATCCATTTTTTATTTTCCCAGGGTTTGATGTTGGCTATTGTGCACTTTGTTGTATTTCTTTATCTACTTATTGTATTAGTGTTTGATATCTAAAGAATTGCAGTTTCTTAACCAATAAAAAATATTTTTTCTCACAAAATTTCAATGTAAATGGGGGCAATTCAAACACACCCTTCTGCTCACCTTGTTAGCTATAGAAACTTGACAGGGAGTATCTGAGGAGTTGGAAGGTCATCATTTGCCGGGACATGCTGCATCAATGGATTTAAATATGCATCCTTCGACTTCAGGAAATTCTTGTACTATTTCTAGTGATGCTTTGCTGAAAATCCAGGTATATAATGCCCCTGTGTGCTAATTTTACCAAAGAGAGTAGATAGACATACAGTGGCTCTCAAATATAGTCATGCCTCATTCTGTTGTTTGTTTATAAGTTCAAAATCAGATTTTGCCGATAAGCTTTAAATTACTAGCTGAGATTCACATTAATTTACTTTTAAGTGTTTCTATTTTTTCTTAACTAAATATTTGATATTGTTGGGTGGGAAGGAAATATTGGGTCCCTTGTTGCTGGGAAGAGGGAAAGGGAGAGACTAGAGACTATAGTTAATGCAGTCCTTTCTTAAAGTTTTGCTACTATTATGGCAAAGAATTTTTTTTTTTTTTTTATCTTTGGAGTTGAAATTGATATTCATTATTTGAGTTGTTTGATTACTAATAATGCATCTCAAAATGTGAGAAGACTAAATATAATGTATGCTAGTCTAATCTCTTGGGTTGTAAGTGATATTTTATTTAGCAATTCTATCTTTTAGATTGTACAAAGTTTTCATTTAATACCTATCAAAAAAATGTTTTCATTTAAATATAGATATATTTTTTTATTCAAATATTGCTATACGTGGAAAAAAAAAGAAAAAAAAAAGTACAGGCCTCAACATAATTTGTTGCTTAGGGCCTCCAAATTGTTAGGGCCGGCTCTGATGAATGCTATGACATTGGCAGATTCGACTGGGATGTTTGTATGCCCGCATACTAGGGTTGCACTGATGGCATTGATTAAGCTCTGGGATAGTGGAATCATTGATCGAACTGATAAGAAGGTAGTTGTTAGTACATCTCATGGATTGAAGTTTACGCAATCGAAGATTGATTATCATTATAGCGAGATTAAGGAAGGCAGAGTTTGGATCTGTCATGAATGTGCGTAATAGATACTCGAGCAATACAAGACTCCATTGATGCCCTTTTGAGTTCTGAAATTGCACTCTTTTCAGTGACATTTTATCTTCAATTTTTCATTTAGTTCATGTTACGTAAGACTGAAATTTTGCATTCTGCAACGTGTACATATTCTCAGGGCAGATAATATAATGTGCATAGGGTTTAAAGATTTGAATCTCTACCTATAATAAGATATATGCAAACTTGGAAATCTGCAACTGTTTCTTCTGGTCATTTTACATGTTATGCTATCTTTATCCCTTGAATATTTGAGCTGAGTTTTACTGTCCAAATTTAGCTGTCCAACTTGCTGTGCACGAATAATTCATTGTAACACATTTTTAAGCACAAGTACCAGTTAAAGAAAAGTTAGATATATTAATTTAAAATGATGTGTCAATGAATTATTTAGTGGATAGCAAGTTGGATAGAAGATCTCAAACTCAAAATATTTAGGCTTGTAAAGTGGTTCTTTTAAATTTACACAGTATGTATCTCATCCCTAGTGATATTTTCATGCATGTATTGCTCCGCCACAATACCGTTATCTCGATTTAGGCTGCTTCAATTTCGCAGACCACTATAACAAAATTTTCTTTTACCTTCTTTTTCCTCTGACTATTACCAAAGTTTAGTTCACTGTGTTATCTCTTGATTGCCCATGAATTTAGCAACAGTTCAAATGATGGATCAATTCAAGGATTTTCAAATACATAAGGTGGTCAAACGAATCTCTTGAATCTATTATTAGAATCAGTTTTCCTACTTTAACCAATAGGGTGACATTCTGGATGATTGAATTGCCACTTGGCAATTCTGTCATCCAGAAAGTCATCCTGAATATTAACATAGCAAAACTCTATTAGAATTGCCTTTCACATAAATCTATTTTCAACATTACATGATTCCTTAATTGTGTTCAATTTATCGTTCTAATATCTCTCACGTCATTTTCAATTTTTACCCTAATAAATATGCCAAGCGTATAAAATATAAGAGAGGAACAACCTTGAAATCTACCTCTTGTTTGTTGATAGACAAATTAACATTCTAAATATTAACATGTTGCAAGAGTGACATTTTATACAAAAATTGAACTACAAATTCCGTTCTAACTTACAAATGGTAGCGGGAATGTAAAGAGGACAGTTACGACAACAATCAGAGCAATCTACATGCTTCCAAAAGAGAACCCAAGGGGTTGAATTTTCAAGCATATTTATAGAAAGATAAGCTCTTGTCATCAGACACGCTAGCAAGCAGACAAGATCTAACATCCGTCTTTATAGGAGGGCCAAATGCCACTGACCAGACCTGGTCTGTGTGGCCGGTCATTATCTGTGCAGCCGCTCTCATTTTAAGATCCCATAACCTAACAGTCCGGTCACTCGAGCCCGTTGCAATCGCCATTCCATCGGGGGACACATCCACACTCAAAACCCAGCCAGAGTGGCCTGACAAAGATGAAATCAAGGTTTTACCTTCTGTATCATAAACATGGGTGTGGCCATCGTCTGAGGCAGAAAAGAGGACCCTTGCATCAAGAGGTGCTGATGAATACACAAGAGATCGAACAGGCATGTTGTGGCCTTCCAAGTGGTGTAGGAATTTCGTACGAGTCACATCAAAAATTGAGATGGTTCCATCCATTGAACCACAAGCAATTTGTCTACCATCAGGGCTCCATGCAACTGAGAGAACAAACTTCTTGCTGCCAGTTTTCTCTGAGGGTTTCAAGCCTTCTAGTCGAGGAACTGATAGTGTTGCAGTCAATTGCCATTGAGCAGTATCCCACAGCTTCACTGATGCACTACCACCTCCAGCTGCTGCCAGTATGGTACCCTTGAAAAGATAAAGACGAAGTTAATGGCCAAGTCAATTACCTTTCAGACACTAATCACCCAACAAGAATAGTTTGCAGCATTTAGAAATGCGGTGAGTATATGATGACACAGAAATATAGAATTCAATCGTCTTTCTTGCACATTAGATTAGGGCCATATTAGAGACAACTGTGTGGAATTATAATCTATAAGCCTATTAGAATGATCTCAAGTCTCTGTTAAATTTAGTCTTAAGAAAACCATGCAGACATTGATGTAGGGAGATTAATAAATCTGTGAATAACAAGAAGGGATGGGGGAGGGAAGAGAAGAAGAATACAGAGGAGGGGAAGAAGAGAGGGAAAACGGCTGCAAAACCAATTCTTTAATTCATCAAATTCATCATCTCAAATAACAATGTAAGATAGGTTTAAATACTGAAAAATAATGCAAACCTAGGGCTAAGCCCAATACACAAGTCCATAAAATTAAAATAACCTAAATTCCAACTAAAATAATTAAAATTGTTAAAATTAATTAAAATTGGATGTCCTCATCAATTCTCCCTGGGTGGGAGAGAAAACTCGACCCTGTCGAGTGGCTATATCATGTCCTCATCAGACATGATAAAAAACATCACAGAATATTTTTCATATGAGCACCATTAAGATCAATAGAAATAAGAATTACAAAGTCAAATAATTCAGAATAACAATGCAAGTTTCAATGAATTACAAAATGCTTCACATCCACCAGCACATAAGTATCAAAAATGGGCCAGTGCCAGAAGTCCCGGAACTTCCAGCACTTGTATATCTATACATTTAGAAATGTTATTGGGCCTATTAATATTGAAATTCATCTGACAAACCGAGAGCTACAACAGTAGACAGCAACACACTATCACACAGCAGAGGCATTCAACATAAACAACTTCATTAGTCAAGATCCTCAACATCAAAACAATTTTTTCTTTCCATCTTTATAATGAACAAGAAAAAAATTGCATATCGAAAATCATAAATACATTAAGAAATTCATGACAGGGCATAAATCTTCACATACTCCACAATAGAGAAGATAAAGTCGAATAATAATAAGTTTTAACCAGATAACTCGTGCACTAATAGGGCTTCGAAATATTATCAAACAATGACCATAAATTGTTGTCAAAGGTGGTTTAAAATTATTTAAAACAGCATTATCTAAAAATAGCTTAAAACAGAAGTTAGTTAAATGCAAGTTTTACATTTTGCATAAGAGAATAGGCCTGTTGAAAGCCTTACAGGCAAAACACATTAATTGAATTCGAATACAGGTTTAATGCAAGTATATGTCTGAAATCAGGACCTCTACACATGCATTAATGCAAAACTAATTTTTATGGTTACATGGTGTCTAATATAATAAACATTGCTCAAAATAAAGCATCAAATCCATTTGAAATAGTTTCAAAGCATATTAAACATCTTTGATAATACTTCTTTAATTTGCGATCCATACATCATTTAGACAACGATCCCATGCTGTACTCCAAGCATCAAGTGTCCAATAAGTACTTTATAAATTTAAAGATTTGGAGAAACATGACATGCAAATAATAGAAAGGTGTTGATCGTCACATTATTGGCATTTTTTAATTCCAGTTGGACTTCTAGCAAAACATTGATGACCAAATCAGGAAAAAAGAAAGAACATGGAGAGAAATAAATATCAGAAAGCGATGCAAATAAGATGCAAATTAGACAGTGAAGCATAGGGAAGATTGTCAATGAAGCTCTCATGGATGGGGACAAAAATAACTCAAGGATTGAGATCAACTTTTTCTCATATGGTTGTCAATTTAGAGATAAATGTACTGACTCCCACAGAATATCCATGAATTTGGTGTATACTGTTTCATCCTCCTGAACTGATTTTTGCATCTTTTCATTTTTTTTATTTGTAGGTGAATCACACCTATACCTTTTTCATTAGTTCTAATTTTTCGTTAAAAACATTGCATGCCCTTCTGTTATATAGTCAAAACCACTATGCACTAAGCTTAAGACAATTGAACATTTTAATAACTTCTCAAGGATTTTAATTAGTGAATGCCAAAATTTTTATTAGTCATTTTCATAACTTTTTCCCAGTTACTTTAATCCATCAAATAACTTCTCTACTTTTGTCCTTCTCTCTTCACGTACTTGAATCTTCATATGAATTCTGCATTTGCATCAAGTTCATCAGTCAAAAAGCTCTAATTACAAAATGGTCCAATTGACGCAACCTTACAGTAATAATCTTAAGTTGCTGAGAACTTTATTGTAAATACTGATTACTAAAACTAAATTCAAAAAAGGGAAAGAAGGCTGAAGCTTGAAGTTTCAAGAAAATAACATAAATCTGCTCAAGCTCTTTTATTTAGCTAAGGAGTTCTAATTTCAAGCCCCAACCAAGAAACAAAAACTAGAGATATTTTCATAAAATATCATTCACTATCTCCCTATTACATTTCAACACTCAGGGCTCACTCCTGGCCCTTATAAAACAAAAGTCATCACTGAAAAATAGAGGTCAACTAAGCTAGAAAACTGTAAAAATTAAGCAAGCCAATATAATAAAATTATAGCTGAATATTCAAGCAAATTTAGCATCTAATTACATAATATTAAAATCTAAGTTCAATAACATGAGCTAAGCCCAAATTTCCGTGTCAATTTCAAAAGGTTAAGACTTGACAGGGAACTGATCATTTCTCTAGCTCTAGCATTCAGTGGGAAATTGCTTTCACACCCATACGTAGGGAAACCTCACCACAACACTCATTATTGCACCATTACTCTTCTTGAAGTCCTCCATTAACTGGGCGCTTGAAATTGATTTGGTATAAATAGTGTCCATAAAAGGAGGAAGACATCCAGCTAGAAAGATGTGAATTAATAAACGAATTTTCACTTATTTACCCACATGTTACTTCAATATCTCTAATTTTATTCTTTTTCAATAATCATCCCATTGTTTACAGCTTAACTTGATTTCTGGTGCAATTATTACTTGCTTGGCTGTCCAAATATGTTTGGGCTAACAAATCGCTTGCTCAAACTCAATTAACACATGAAACCCCCACATCTCATTCCAAATAATAATATAAGAGACACAACTAGTATAATTACTTCCCCAAATAAAAACCAAATCTATTTCTTCGTACACAAAAAAACCACAAAATAAAAAGCAAATACTTTTACTTCAAGTTAGTTAATTATTAACAGAGAACAACAAATTTTTTGCTCCTTTCACTTGCATGCCAGATACATAATCCCATAAAACAGAAAATAGTTTTACTTCAAGTTAGTTAATTATTAACAGGGAACAACAAATTTTTTACTCCTTTCACTTGCACGCCAGATACATAATCCCATAAAACAGATTCTCCAAAAACGTTTATTCATTTCCGCAATCCCATCCTCCACAGGCATGAAACAATAAACAGATTATCCATAAATGATTATCCATTCCCGCAATCCCTCCTACCACAGGCATGAGCAATTACAAACATATAACCCAAAAAATTAAATAGCGCTTTCCCAATCCAGAACAAACTCATTCACTTAATGTTCGTATTTTGCTAGACTGACTTCTTTCCTCGTGATTAGAACACTTACTGCATCTCATCATAGTCATGTATCCTTTTTTTCTCCATTTTTTTGGCTCATTGGCACACGGAATAATAACGATAGAGATGCAAAAATGTTTCTACATAAGTTGTACTAATTTATACCTGGGGATTAAACTGTAATTGCCAGACTTCAGAAGGGGGAGCCTCGAGGGTTGCAATAGTATTATTTGTGGCAACATCAAAAACCCTAATAAAGCTATCGATGGAGGCAGAGGCAGCGATTCTTCCAGATGGGTGGGCGGCCACAGAGACCACACCGAGGCAGTGACCGGTGTTAGTCTGGAGCTTCTGGGGACCCTCCGGCTTCCACAGACGGACAGTCTCGTCAAGGGATCCCGTCAGGAGAAGCGGCGGCGACTCATCGGTGGCCGGAACCCACGCCGCCGTCCACACCGAATCGTCATGGGCGTTCCCAACGGTGCTAAGAGGCGCTAGTTTCATGGTTTTGAGGGTACAGGGAGCAGTAAAACCCTAGCTCAGGTATTTGATTGAAGATTTGGAGTGAAGTAACTGACTGATTTTTCGCTCGAAAAATTGTTTATTTTTATGTTTTACATTTGGTCGTTAAGCCTGTTATTGCACGTTGCCCCTTCAATTTTCATCCTCTTGAAAATGTAACCCTTTAATTTGCCAAAATTTCAAATATGCCAAAATAAGGGAAAATTTATTTCCATCTGGTCTGAAGTCTCAAGACTTTCATTCTTATATATAGTTCTTGTCTTGGTTGTCTGATGTAGATTTTTTTAGAATAGATTTTTATTGAAAGTGATATTTTTGAAAATGTAGGAAAATGTTATTGGTCACATGTAAAATTAATTTATTAGAGAATGTATAATTAAAATAAGTTTGAGAGACAATAATTTTAAAGATATGAACCAAACAAGGGCATTAAGAGAAAGATTATAGAATTCTACCGCTCCACAGAATGATTAAATGTATTTTGAAGCTACTAAGAACCCCAAACCATAATAAAAATTGAAACCATTCGAAAAGAATCATTGTTTTTGTTTCTATTTTTGCATGCATATCAAACATAGGCTCATGCTTCAAGCCAATACCCTTCATCTCCATGTATTTTGAAGGTAAGGTAACATAGGTCGATTCTTTATATATATATATATATGGACTTATATCGATATATTAGGGTAGGGAAGAAATGGATATATATATATATATATTTATATCGATATATTAGGGTAGGGAAGACATGGAAACCTCATTAAGCATGTGTTTGGAAAATCTAGAAAGTAACTTATAATTACTTCTCAAAGACAAATTTAGTTTTAATAGTACATTTTGTAGCATGCATAATTATTACTCATTTATCCACAATTTATGTATATTGCGTTAAAATTTAAAATTTTATCCAATTACTATACTCATTGATGATGTAAACAACAAATACCGAATCCACTTACGTTTAGGTGAGCAAATTTCAGCATGTTTTGACAAGAAATGAGGCCGAAAAGAGTGTGCATAAACTTGGGGGATATGGTTTAAGACACAAGACGAAAATGTTCGGACACAAGCAATAAACTTAAGAGTGATATCAATCACAAACAACTCAATTAAAGCAATACTAACTAGACTTGAGCAAGCAAGAATATTGATAATAGAGAAGACAAATTTATGTTTTCAGTTTAAAGAGTTGCATTAGATTCAATGTGTTACAATGATTGATATTTACATTGGTACAACATTGATCTTAACCATTGGATGAAGCATAATGGTTGCAGTCGACCCTCTAGGATGTTTTGTCATGGTTGTCTCATTGATCACTTGTCATAAGGTGCAGTAGAGTGCGTGGGAAAGAAGAGCCATCCTTTGGAGTGTGTCGATATACATAATTAATTGGGCTGGCAAGATTTGACTTAAACAGGCTGCAGGTAGCCACATCAATCATTCACCAGATACTATGATATCTTTGGAAACTACTTCTGATTCCAGGCACTTGGGGGGGATGGAAAGCCTAGGATGTAGAGGACCTTGACGATTGAGTGGTGGCTTCGACCGTTTGACTTTGGTAAATCTTTGACTTTTCCTTTGATTGATGCCTCCATGTGGTTGCCACGTATGCTTGGAATAGAGCCTCAATGATGAAGCATAACAATAGCCAAGTCCAAGTATAGTTATTTATATAATACTTGAACTTTGTTTGAAAGTTTTAATTGATAGAGGTGAAACCTTTTTCTTGCCATTGTTGGTTCCTCTTGTTGATGCTGTTAGGTTTTGTTGGGTTGTTGGGTTTTTTATTCCAACACAATAGTCCCTTAAGTTGAAGTATAATTATTTAGATAATATTTGAAATTTGAATATAAAAATATTTTTTTCGAGGCTGTGTAACTTGGATATGTCAAACTTTCTAAGAGTTGCTAATGTCCTTTTGAACGAAGCTTTCTATTTAAAAGAAATGAACTGTTGTAGTAGTTGGGGTCAATTGGCTTAAGCTATCTACGATGAAGAAATACTGAAGCAGCATATGCCATTAGCTAGAAGTATCGACATTGGAGTTGAAGTGAGGAGCTTTTGCAATCTGCTGAGGCTGTAAATGTATTGACTCCAAAGTTGTATTTTCTAGAAATGTTGAGAAAACGAATCGTTCTTAATTATTGCGTCTAATTGATTTTCTATCTTGTGCATTTTCAAGAAAAGACAATTAGGACGGTTCAACATTCTATACACTCAATCATCGTTGCATTTAATAAGTAATGATGAGTGCTGTAGACAACTTCTTCAGAAGCAAATGTATTTGCACGTGTAGGTCAAATGCTCTGATCTGAAATCATTACATACGAAATGATAGACATAATGGGTGGTTCAAATTGAATCTTACATTAAGATCCACATCCAACAGTTTATGACCTTTGCCTATAAAAGGCTACAATTTCTGGAAAAATCATTTTTATACAATGGCAAAAAAGAATCAAGCTTCCAAAATGATCTTGAACCTTCTTCAATTTTGCTTACAATCGTAGAACTTTTTCAACTACTTTTAAGAAATCCAATGACTTGTGTTTTAATTTCGTAAGTATCTCTTCAACAAATCTCTATTTTCATTTTGCATTTTCAGTTGGGAACTTTATGCATAGGTGATGGACGGATGTAACAGCCCACAACTTCTTCAAAGTTGGTTTCCCAAGTACCCCATGATAGGCAGATCAGTTGTCTACTATAAAAAAAAAAAAAAAAAAAAAAAAAAAAAAAAAAAAAAAGGAAGACAAAGGAAAAAATTTTTGTATTTTTTAGAAGATTACTTTGTTCAAATACTAATTCAACCTATAAATATATAAAAAAAAAAAAAAAAAAAAAAAAACACAATGAAATGATGAGTAGTCAATGGGAATATTTCTATCTCTGCTGCTAAAGTTATTTTTTCCTCTTAGAATGATACTATCACTAGTGAAACCGTACAAGGAGGAGCTCATGGGCATCAACACATGGTCTACGTTCATTATATCGAAAATCGCTAGAAATATGATATTAACCAAACTCCCATTATCCCTAGCATTTCTTTAAGGTCATTTCATACCACTGTGGCCTTCACTACTAAGGCATCATAATGTGTGTAGTGTTAGCCAAGTGCATTATTTTGTGTAATGATTGCACTCCCCTTCTAGTTGAAGGTTGACTGGTGTTGACTATAAGGCTTGCCATAGGGGGATCTCTGCCATTCCTCACATAGTTCTTTTGTGCATTTATGGTCTCTCTCCCAACGTACGAGGTTCCAAAAATTGTATCTATTTCTCGAATAGGCTGGTGGCTTGTGTTAGCTAGAGGACTTCTCTTTTTCCTTTGGCCCTCTCTAGGTCTTTTCCATCATTTTCTCATCTCTGAAGAGCATCAGTTCAAAGGAGACACCTTGCCTCATCTCTCCTAGGTTGTTGATCCTGCCTAGGAGGGGCACATTTTCCCCGTGGCGTCTGTTCATCCTTTGATTATCAGGTTGCGATGCAATGCAATATCCCCCATAGTCAGTTGTGTTATGATTGTAGGAATTCTGGTAGGTACAATAGAAGGATCCTTCATCCTTATTTTTAATTTCAGAACTTCATCATCTGTCCTTACTAATTTGAGGAAACTATTGGTTGGACCTTTCTCGGTGCATCTTAATGATGGGGTTCACTTCCACATTAGCTAAAGCAAGTAATGTATTTTGCGTCGCTACAACCAGCGCTTGCATGAGTTGAAGGTCGTTAACTGTTTGACCTGGTGATCCATATCACCTTTTTAAATATATCTCTAGTGAAATGAAACTTAATATCTATGTGTTTAGTTCTGTCATGGTAAATTGGATTTCTACATAGAAGAATTGCACTCTGATTATCAGAACATAACTCCACTTGACTTTCTATAAGTCTTAGTTCATTCAATAAGCCCATTGACTAAAGCCCTTCTTTCACTGTCTCTGTGGCAACTATGTATTCAGTCTCAATTGAGGATAAAGCTACTAATTTTTGGAGTTGAGATTTCCAACTAATGCAAGTGTTATTTACCACATAAAAGTATGTTGTAGTGGACTTTGTGCTATCAGAATTCCCAACAAAATGAGAGTCAACGTAACCTTTCAACTTAAAACCATTTTTATCGGTCTTAGACATGAGTCCCAAATTATTTGGGCCTTTTAAAGTACTTCATTAATTTTTTCATGGCTTCCCAATGAAGCTCACCTAGGTTACTCATAAATCTACTTAATACACTCACTGTATAAGCTATATTAGGCCTTAACATACCATAACATGCATGACAGATACAATAGCATCGGCATATGGCAGATGCAACATCCTGTTAAATTCATCTTCATTTTTAGGTGATTGGTCAATTGATAATTTCACATTTCCAAATAAAGGTAAGCTAACAAGTTTTGATTCATGCAAAGAAAATCTTTTAACCACTTTCTCAATATAGTCTTTTTGAGTTAAAAATAGTTTTCCCTTAGATCTTTCGCTTATTATTTCCATACCTAATATTTTCCTAGCAAGTCCTATATCTTTCATATCAAATTCAGACTTCGGGTTTTCTTTTATAGAGTTTAAAATAGCAAGATTCTGACCAACAATGAGTATATCATCCACACATAGGAACAAATAAAACGATTCAGATTTTTCATTACTTTTAAAATAAAAACAAGGATCACATTCATTTTTTTAAACTCTAGGCCTTTTATAAATGAATTAAATCTTTTATACCATTGTCTTCGAGCCTGTTTTAGGCCATACAAAGATTTATTCAGTAAATACACTAAGTGTTCCTTACCTTTTACCTGAAAACCTTAGGTTGTGTCATATATATGGTGCCACTCAAAGAACCAAACAAGAAGGTTGTTTTTACATAAAGCTATTCGAATTTTAGATCATATTGGGCTACAAGTGCAAACAAACCCTAGTGGATGTATATTTTGCTACAGGTGAAAATATTTCTGTGTAATCTGTACCTTCTCTTTGTATTAACCTTTTCGCTCCAAGTCTTGCCTTGTATCTCCTATCACTTGTTTTATATTCACGTTCTTTAATCTTGTAAACTCATTTA